CAGCTGAGTTCATCTGTCTAACTGAATGTCTAAATATTGAGAGAATGAAGTGTCTGTACTCTATGAACCCACCAGTCAAAGTTATTTATAAAAAAAGAAGCAGCAAAACTATCACTGTCTCCCTGCTCTCCTCGACAGTAGCTGTAGTTTGTGAAAAATTAACTAGAATTTATAGTCCAAGCTGCATTAATTAACTCTTTGCAAGGGGAGCTTTTCACCAGATTCCTGAGAACAGGCTGGTGAGCTGTCTGCAAAGGTTACATGATGTGCATGCTAGGAATTGTGTAAGAATTCCTGCACAATAATTAATGACCTTTCTGTGTAGATGGATTGTGTGAAGGGAAGTCCACATAGCAATATCATGGCCCATGGCTCTCCTCTCTGTTGCCCTGCTGTTGATGTTAGTCCTGAATAATCTTGGCATGCAGTGGAAAGTAGACACTCTAAATTATTACAATACTCTGAATCTCTTGTGTTTATGCTGCGCTATCCTCACTGACTGGGACAGCAAAAATAAAAAGTGGCTTCAGATCTTTTGCAATGACATCCATCAAGAGGCAGCCCTCCTTTCCCTGTCCTGACCTCCTTATTCCCTTCTGCTTTGTTCTCAGCCCTGGGACTGAGACCAGCTGGAGGTCTGACTTACTGATGGGTGAGCTGCTCCAGGCCTTCTTCCACCTTGCGGGAGCTTTGTGACCAGTTTGCCTGTGTGTTTGCAGAGGACCCTGTCTCAGGAGGCCTTGCTTATTCCCACTGGTCTAATTTCACCATTTATTTTATGTAGCTTGCCCCATGCACACTCCCTGTTTCCTGCTTTTAATTCATTGAAGTACCTGGGGAGGCAGTCAGTATATGACTGATGTTACTGCACAAATCCCCTCATCATCTTCCACTGCCTTCACTTGAGTGCCTTTCCACCCAGATTGCAGCTAGGACCTAAAACTACTCCCTTGCTTGTTCAGATCTCTATTTATCTCAGCACAGGACAGTTAAGGGGGGGATGATCTCTATTTTTCCTAATACAAGAGCCAGGAAGGGGCAGTTCTAAAAGAAGTAAACAGAGATGTGTCATTGCACACAGTGTAAGTAACACTGAAGCTCTTGTCACAAATATTGTGGATGCCACAAGATTAGATTTGTTCAAACAGCAATTAGACACATTCATGTAAGAGAAATCCATCAAAGGCTATCAAGTGTAAAGACACTGCAGCTGATTTAGGTTGTCTCTGAGCTCCTCATCCTAGATGGCCAAAGGAAAATTATTGTATGCTCATGCTGAGCTTCTTCCTTAATCATTGCCTATTGGCCACTGTCAGAGACAAGATAGGGCTCTGGTTTGACCAGTAGTTCTCAGCTTATAGCCTTATAATAGCCTGTATTTCATGACACTCTCTTCTCAACAGGGAACTGGGCTGACTGCCTCTTTTTGTAGCATTTGCTACATCTCTGCTGCTAACAAATGGACCATAGTACTATGATTCCATGATTCAGTTATAAAACACTTTGTGCTTCTTTGGAACAAAAGTCATGGTACTTGCAGAAAACAGGATTTAAAAGACAACAAGGTTAACAAGATGCTTGTGGGAGAACTGATTAACCACGTATTTTTCTGACAGGCATAGCTCTGTTGACAACTCGATTTCTAGAAGTGCACAACATGCATGTTGCAAGCCTCATTCATGTCAGTCTCTTTTTTTATTTGTTAAAAAGGAACATAATTGTTTATATGGGATGAAAATCCCACGCAATCTCTAGCTGGTCACCACTGTAATCCGCTCTGGTATCACAACATCACATAGCACTACATCTTCCCATCCACCTTTTCTGGTGGAAAGGGTACCTTTTCATGTGAGATGTTTTCTGTGGGGAGGTTTCTGGGCTCTGTTTTTATTTCTCCCTCCATTCTTCTCTTTTACTGTGGGGAAGGCTTGCTCCAGAATCCTTTCCTGTAGGATTTATGATGTGAGACCTAGCGAGATGGATAGTTTTCCTTGCTAGCAACTGGTACATTTGATGGTTGCAGGGGTGACGGCTTCCTGCAGGCTGTGCTTGTTCTTCATCCATGTGCCATTCAGTTTGCACCGGTGCTTTGGTTCACGAAGTTTCAGTGCTCCCTAATCTGATACCATACTTGCAGCTTTAGCAGAGGCCTGTTCACTGTGCAGTTTTAAGGTACTTCACTAAAAACCTGCAAGCACTCCAAACCAAAGGCTGCCCTGCAAGCGACTTTCAGCAGCTCCCGTGCTGTGTGCTGGCCAGGCAGTACTCAGGGACTGTTTGAAGGGACAGCGGCTGTCTTCTCTGTACCTGCTCCCCTGCAATTTTCACACTTCTCTGGCAGGCCCTTGCTTGCTCTGCCGCTGCTTCTGCCTCCACATTACTGGCCCAGCCAGACCCAAGAGAGCTGCAAAATAAAGCAGGCATCTCCTACTAGCCCAGCAGCCTACACAACCTGCAGCTTCTCGTGCACATGCATAGAGAAACCTGTGCACAGCCTGGCTCCGACTGCATTTTGGGACACAGCTGCAAGCTGCCAGGCTAGGTTTTATTTTCATGCTCATTTTTTAAATGGCATTTGTTGTTAAGGCTTGGTTTAAGTGGCTGGGTCTAGCTAAAGGAAAGACTTTGCAAAGAAAGTCCAGGTGCTATCACACATGGTTAAAGCTCCTCTGTCTTGAACCCACACCTCTCCACTTGCCTTAGAAGAAATATGCTACTATCTCATGAAGGTGTAAATTACTCACACTTGTTACAAAGTCATTATGATGACTTTGGCTTCTAGTTCCCATTAATCTTAACTGGAAGGGAGTGTTGAATGTCCCTACAGATGTTTGGGAGTTTTCATATTTGAGGGTTTTTTCACAAGGACTTTGGTGTCTTGGTGAAATCATTGTCTGTCCTAAAACCCAGCATATGCTCCAGTATGTGTACACTGCTCTGCACATTTGGCTCCCTGCTGGCTAGTGTTATGTGACCTAGGAGAGGAACAGCTATTTGCTGTCCCAGGGCCATATGCATTTTCAGTCTTTCCTGAGTATTTGCCACGTCTTGTTTGCAGAGCACTTTGGGACAACGTGCTCTGCCCTGAACAGCTGTGAAAAGACAACCCCAGAGACAATGGTTATTCAAGGCAAAGCACAGAAATAGCTCTGCTTGGTGCACAACCTTGGCTCTGTCAGACAGTGGAAGGCATTGACTTCCCTATGGGAACAGAAGAAAATGGGGTTGGACAATGCATTGGCTCAAGCAAAATGAACAATAAGCTTGGTTGGCTCTGCCTCCAGCAGCGTGCAGGTAACAGTGTGACCTACTCCTGCTGTGCACAGCCTGATGAGCAAACTCCTCATTCAGAGGAGCGTGGACCCCATGCAGTCAGAGACAGTGTAAAAGCAAGAGAGCCCAAATAATCTTCTTCAGCTGCTGATGTGCCAAGCATCACCAAAATGCAAGAAGTTTCACAGGATGCTTGGAGCCCTTCTTTACATGTGAGAGCCTGGACATGCCCATCATGCACTGGTCTGGAGCCGAAGAGTAACAACAGAAACCTTGGCTCTGGAGGTGTGGGCTGCAGCTGGAGGCATCAGGGCAGGCACTCGTGGCAGCCTCTGAGCCTGCTGTGGAGGTGGGATGGGCACAGGGGCTGCCCAAGATGTGGGGAGCAGCCCTGGCTCCCTCCGGGGCAGGCTCTGGCATGCCTTGCTGCTTCTCCTGTGGTTCTGACTAGCTCCTGCCTGGGGCTCTGGCTCCAGCCTTCTTCCTCGAATTCTGCGTCAATGAGGTGTTACGTCTTCAGTGACTGGTCTGAAGTCACTAACCTCTCCGTGAGGTTCGTTCATACTTTGGAAAACAGGATGGAGGAGGGTATCTCCTCAGAAACCTCAGGTACAGCATAAAAGGCACTGGAAAGTAGGTAGTAACCACACTGTTGGAGATGTAACTGTGTTAGGGTATAAGCAAGGTGTGTAGTCCAGGAAGGGGGACTATCTGTAGTGAGATTAAACATTCAGTTGGAAAAAGCAGATGGTTTTGAGTGCCCAGACCACTTTCACTTACATCAATGTGGGTCTGCATTCCCCAAAGCTGGTCTGCTTTTGTAACCTGTATCAGTTACTCTAACCAAAGGTTTTTCCCTTCCTAGAAGCCTTTATCTTGCCTGTGGAGACTGTTTTGGGCTGTAAGTTTGCCTGAGTCATTCAGAGATGGGAATTGCGGTGAAATTCTGCAGAGTACCATCAGTTTTGTTTGTGCTTTACATGGCTGGAAAGCTTTTCTCCAGAAAGAAATTTGGATTTGGAAAAGCATCTGTATCCCAGGAAACTTGAGTCGTGCTGACTGCCTTCCTCTTAGCACAGACCAGAGCTGACTGATTTCTACTGCAGAACTTGTGCCTGATCTCTTGAGGCAACCCCACTGGGACATGACAGAGAAATGCTCAGAAAGAGGGGAGGGAGAGATGGAGCTGTTCTTAATTGCACTGGACCTGTGCTGGGGACAAAATAAGGGCACTTGCTTCTGGCTTCCTCCAAGAGATGTGGAGCAATGAAATGTCCGTTGTGGTATCTCTGGATCTGGGTCAAAAATCATGATGCAAATCAGGCCTCAGCAGCATGCCATCATGACTCTGTGACTCTGCAGCACCTCCTGCCTGCCCGCTGGTGTAGGGTTGCATGTGTAAGGGGAGGGCAGGAGAGGTGGGAAAGGGACACTTTTTCCTACAGCTTGCCAAAAAGATGATCTTGTCCTGACATGCTGGGTGCTTAGAGGGAGGCATGTCCTCAACTCAATCACATGGCCACTTACGCTAGGACAGGAAAGGTCATGTCACAGCCCAAAGACATGGAGAGGTGAAGGTAGGTCTAAAGGCACAGACTGAAGTTTGTAGCTTTGCAGTTTTTACTTTGGCAAATGAACTAGTTGAAAATCATCTAAGAGAACAGAATTGCTCAACAAAGGAAATAACAATATATCCTTTTTGTGTGTGTTTTTTTGTTTCCCTGCAGTAACCACAACTCTCTCCTCCTGGTCTGGGCATGCTAGAAAATGCAATGAAACGGCCAAGTCTTATTGTGTAAATGGTGGGGTATGCTACTACATCGAGGGGATTAACCAGCTGTCTTGCAAGTAAGTGAGTGCAGTTCTTGTGTCAGTACGGAAATTACTTGGCTGGGGGAAAGAAGACCTCTGTCCAACTGCCAGAGGACGGGTAGCTCTGAAATTTTCCTGGCAATTGCAGTTTGAGCTGTGAGTTGAGTTCAGAAATGGAGACTGGAGGGGTCGGGGTTGGGGGAGGTGGTTTCATATTTTCTTTTTTGTGTGAGTGTCACTGTTCACTTTTCCTGACTCTTTCTCTAAGAATATGCTTGTCCTGGCTGTTTCCTTTCCCTTTCTTCCCTCTCTCCTCTGCAGCCACAGGGAAGGTTGGGTCTCTTTTGCCCTCCCTGATCTAGTCAAAGCTCTGCATCCCCGGCTGACACACCTTCCCCTCCAAGCAGAGGGGCTTTCCCCAGTGCACAGCCACCTTCCTCCTCCATGACTGGAGGGGGTCCCTTGCTGAGGCCTGCCTCTTACCTCTCCCATCTGCACCTCAGCGTCCCAGAAGCAGGTTTAGCATACAGCTGTTCACCACTCTGTGCCACTTTGTGGCAGGGTTTGGGCTGTTTATTCCTCCCCTTCAAAAAAGCCTGCGGAATAACCCAAGGAGACATATTAAGTTATCCTTAAAATTAAATTTCTTGGAGAGGTTAAGGTGGAGCTGGATAGTTCGAGGCATGTGGAATGGGATGTGAGACCTTTTCACCAGTGGTTCAAATCTATCACAGCCAGCAAGGCCAATAGCATCTCACAGCTCACCTTCCTAGCCTAATGGGGACCGTGAATGAAAAGTGCAGTCTAATTGCTGCTGGAGATGTAGGTACCCAAAGCATACCTGTACTGGCCCCCAGGCTCCTGCGGAGTGAACATGAGGTGGTGCTCTTGGTGTGTATTAGCTGAGCAGATGCAGTCAGCTTCTGAGCTCACCTGGGGATCCAGGCATCACTGTGCCCAGCTCAGAGAAGCCTAGCGCTGACTATTTTATCTGTGCATGGCCCAGAGACCGCTCTGTGGAGACACACAGCCAAAGGTATTCACATCTGTGGATGTTAACCTAGTACCACGGCTTCTACATGGTGTGATGCTCACTAGACACCGCAGCTCCTCAGGCCTTGAAGGATGCATCTGAGCAGAAATATCACCGCTTTTGGAAGGGCTGTGAGCTGGATTACGCTTAGTACAACTCCTCCCTTCTCCCAGTACTCCTTTGTTATGGCAGGGAGCAGTAGGAAAGACCATGTGGAAATGCATTCTGCTGAGCTCCTGTGCTCTCACTTTCCAATGCAGGATCAGCTGTGGTGGGAAGAACATAGGATGAACAGCATCTTCCAGTTCTCCCAGGTTTGCCCCTTCAAACATGGAAAGAGCCATATAGGACAGAAACCACATGCTGTGGTCCTCCACATTTCCCATGTGCACGAAGTGAGAACAGCCCTTCCTTGTACACCACAGACCTCTGCTTTAGGCTGGTTGTCTCTACCATTGGCTGCTTGGTGGCACTGTAAGTTCATCTTGCCAGTGTTCCGCATAGAAAACATGAAGGAAGCCCCATATGATGAATCAAAGTAGTTCCCCTCTTTCCATGCCAGGTAGAGCTCAACCTTTGGAGCCTGGAGGAATGTGTGAATCTCTATCTGTAAGCAATGTGGTGGTGCTGAAAGCATAGATCTCAAGGCTATTTCTTTTGGGAACAACTTGAATCCAGATCAAGACTTTTCAAATCGGATCAATTTCTAATTACAGTAAGAGTTTCCTGAACTCCTGCCATATGCAGTTATAATGGTAAGGCTCCTTTATTCCTAATGAAGGGTACACATGGTAGTTATCATGTGTCTTCAACAGATAGACTATTTTAACCAAAGTAATTCCAGCCTTGCGAAGAAACAGTCTACCTTCAAAGCAGGCTGCTGTGATAGCTGATGAACAGAGAAGCAGCTCAGTGATGGATTCCATTAAGATTTTATGTGCCATACGAAACAGATATAATTATTTTATTTCATCTGAAAGCCTTATTTCTTTACTTGCAGATGGTAAAATGATTTCATTTTCTGAGTCCCAAGGTACCAACTGCTAAAACCAGATGGGAGTTGAATGGGTGTATATGGAAGGGCAGCAAATTGTTAACCAAAAGGAGGTGCTTTGAAGGTCTGCACTGTCACTATTCATCTGCCAGAAAAGACAGTTCTGTGTTAACAGGAACCCAGGGAACCAAGTGCCTTTCGCACAGTAAAGTAATTTCTGATCTTACTGCTTGAGGAGGTATCTGGATGTTCATTCTCCTTGGGGGTTCTTATCATTAAATAATTGTCTGAAGATAAGAAATCCTGACTTTTGAAGTGGTATAGCTTTAGAGTTTCTGGACTCTAAAAGGCAACATTTAGTTATTGAGGAATGCAGAAGCATTTGAACTGAACTTAGTATTTCCCATAAAATGGCTTTCCCAATAACGTGGATGATTGGGGAAGACTGATGATGGATAAATGGACTCCACATTTGCCTGCCTGCAAACTAGCAAAATGCTGAAATGTTTCACAACTTCCTCACTGCACCAAGACAGATCTGCTGCTGTGATTTGTGAAAGATACAATGATACAGATTCAGAGGAGAAACTAGAGGAAGAGAAGATGCTGGCTTTGACCTGCATTTCTGGACTCTGTAACATGGGAGCCAGCCTTGGTCCTTCAGCTATACCATGCCTCTGAGATGTGAACATGGAGGAGATTGATAGGTTCTTCTGCGCACAACCTCTTAAAATGCCTTGGAGATCAAACAAAAGCTACGTGAGCATCTTGAGCCGAGAACAACACATGTTCATGCACTGTTCCCTCTTGGCTATTGGGGGTGTCTTCTGACACCGTGTGCCAGCTTTCAGTCCTCCTTCACTGAGTGCTAAGAAGATTCTAACACCCCGGCACCTGTGTAACGTTACCAGCTTGTCCAATACCAGCTATCAGAAAACAGAATTATAGAGTGTTCTTGCTCACTATCTGCCACCATCCTGTAATAAGGTTCCTGGAGTGCATGTTGTTTTTTGCAGCTGTCCACAAGCACAGGAGATCCTTCCTGTTAATGTTACCCCGGGAACTCTGGAGCAAAAAGAGCAGATGGCTTCTCAAATGATTTCTTCTCCTGAAGTGGCTCATACTTGATTTGTTACAGATATCACCTAAATTGGCAGCTGGCCTTTTATTATTATTTTTTAACAGGCTTCCTAGAAACCTGTTCCTCCTGGTCTTTTAAATTCTGGGGAAAAAACTGTTTGCCTGTAAACACAATTCCTCCATCCCTTTTCAATATACTTATCTATACCTTGGACAATTAGTTTTCTTCACTGGGGAAGAGCCCAGAGCGGACTTGGAGCTGTTCCAGAAATTGTGCCTTTTTTGGATTGTGTGCTTACCTAATTTTGTCCTTAATTTGGAGTAAATTCTACACTAGTAGACACTAGTAAATTCTATTGGCAAAGGAAACCCGAATATGATACAATCTGTGATGTTATCCTGACTTTGCAAACAAACCACCTGGAAGTTAGATGGGAGAAGTTTCATTTGCCTCAGATTTTCTGCAAATTCTCCACATAAACCCAGGAAACAACTGAGCCACACACAATAGAATTGACTCAACAGCCCTAGGAAATTGAAAAGCCCCAGGCTTTTGCTGACAGGAAGAATTTCTTGACCCTTCTCTAGACCATTTTGACCTTACAAGTTGGACTGGTTCCTCACCATACCTGTAAGGAATTGGCGAGTTTGAGCAGAGCAAATTCAGTACCTGCAGAAGGGATGCACACAAACAAGTCTCAAGACCTTGAGCTGGGCTGGGACACAGAAGAGCAGTAACTGGTTTGTTGTGTCCAGCTGAATGTAGCACTTGAGATGGCTAGCAGCCTCTGATCTTGGGTCTGCCTTGGTCCTGGAGCCCATTGGGTTCTTGGCACAACTTAGAGCAATTTGAGGCTGCTCTAATTTTTTATTGCTGTGTGCCATGCCCCATGGGGTTGTGCTAGAATGTGTATCACAGAAGAAATACTCTTCTTCCCAGTTAGGTCTTGGCACATGTTATCTACCATTGGGGGTCTTCCCAGCCAATCAAAGAAACAAAGCCAAGTCTCATCACTGCACAGTCCTTCTTCCCGCTCAAAGGCACTTTGTGACTCTTCTGTGTTGTTGATTTAATCAAAGTGGCTGCTACCCTGGGCCAGGTTTTTCTTAAATTTCATGGGATCAGAAGACTTAAAGAGCAACATCCTCCCACCATATTTGACTGGTTGTGCTTGCAAGAGTCAGGCTGAAGGATTTACAAACACTGACAGATAAACAGACTCTCTGCATTTAGGCTGATAGCGTTGCATTATGTGAGTGAGGTCAGTGGCCTAGAGGACCTCAGACAAAAAGTGAAAGTCAAGGAGAGAATAAAAAACAAAACAAAGCAAAACAGAAAAGTTCAATTCACTTTTAAACTAGTTGATGCATGCAAATCACCAATTTACAAAATTACATGTTCACTTCCTAGAAACCCATTTGCTTACCTCCTCCATGTATATTGTTTCCTGCAGATTTTCCCGGGAAAGGGGAAAGATTGGTCTGAAGGGTTAGCCGCATTGCCAGCTCCCCTGTGCTTTTCCAGAGCACCATTCAAAGGGGTGAACATCAGGCTGATCTCTTACAGCCATGATCCTCCTTGCAGCACAGCTTGCTCAGCTCCCCTGTGGTGTCAGAAGCTATGCCATCCCTCTCAATGACTCTGCTGATTTGGTCAGCACAAGTTACGCATTGCACAGCCACAAGTATGTCACTTTTCTGTGGACTTATGTGCAGTTCTGTGGGGAGATGTTGCAATGTCCTTGGAAATGAAGAGCCCACAGTGTTGAGCTAGGGGTGAAAATCTCCACATCTTGTTCCAAATCTCCTGAACTAGCCAGGAATCAGTAGTTTTTGAATGCTGTTTATCTTGGATGAAAGGATCAGGTATTTTGGGGGTTCAAGTAGCGTGTCTATGCATTCTGTTCAATGCATCCTTTTTAATGCACG